ACCAGGGTTCGATTTTTACCAGAGAGATTTTACCCACATTTAAGTGGGTCCACTGAGATGAATTTTTTAAAAATAAAAAAAGTGGAATTCTCAACCATAACACTCTTGTATCTCTACAAAAAGGAAAAAAAAAGTGGTCTTGTCACCCACATGACACTATTAATTCTACAAACTATAAAAATAATAGACACTCAATTAAAACACCAAAAAAAAGAAAAGAAGAAGAAGCTATTACGATGTTTCTATATTATCTCTTAAAATAACACCAAAATATGTAGGCACATTGTTAGAACTCTTTTTTTTTTTTGGTTGTAAAATTCAATGCATTACTGGGACTTCCAAAAGATGTCATCATAACCTCCTTGAGCGGTCAAGTTGCACCACTTTACTGAGAAGCCAAAAAAGGGGCAGTCTTCATTCAGATAGTTTTGTTTAGATAATAAATTAAAGCTAAGGCAATAGTAAGGCTACTATTGAAAACAGACCATAAATAAAGACAAGCTTGAAGAGAAAATCTGTTTAGGCTTCCTCCAGGGGAGATGCAAAAAAGATCACCGTCATCTGTCCAAGCTCCAGGATTCATCAACTGCAAAACACATGAATATGGATTGTCACAACCAAAATTATTACATCGTACATTTAGATAAAAATAACATGTTTAATGAGTTTCTTGATCATGAATAATTAAATATGTAAAATGCAAATCTTTAGGGGAGTCTGCAAGAAAGAAAAACAAATCTAGAGGCTGCCATTAAGACAATAGAAGTTAGACTGGATAATATCTGACTCTTTGGTATATAAGAGAGGTGTGTCCTTTTCAAAAGAAAAAAAAAATGAAAAAAAAGAGAGGTGTGTAGTTCTCAAAACAATGTTTGACAATCAGAGTTTTACCTCATTGACTTCCAACATTCCATCTTCTAACACTCCTTCGTAGTATGGCCTTATTTGCCACACCTACACCAGCCTTGCCTGTAAACATGCTTCCTTTCACCAATTGCACGATCCATCGAATCATGTTCCGAAAAAGTGACAAAACCAAATGTCTTGTGTTTGTGCTTGCTGATATGTTTTGTCACAACCTTCTTTACAAGCCATAAAAGGAATAAAAAAAAACCTAATTAATAAATCAAACACAGAGATACACATTTTTTCCCTTAGAAACACAAAAATCCAAGCTTGAATAGCGTAGGCCAATTTGAAACCCCACAAATGACTGCAAGAGCAAGAGAAGAGCTTAAATATTTCAAGTGAATAAGGAGTGGTATGGTTTCATCTCTTCAAGGACAGGCTGTACTCAAGTATGATCCACAATATATCCGAGCTGCATGATCCGTTCTTTATGGTTTAAATGAGCTGCTTGAACTTGGTTTATGAAACTGCCATGATGAACTTACTTCATAAACCTTGGTGTTCTTTTCTGCAAAAAGAAAAAAAAAAAAGTATTTGATTGGCTTAACCAATTTTAGTTTCTCCAATTTCTTCTAGCCTGTATAGTCTTTTCAATCCAAAAGGCTTTTGTTAATGTTTTCCATCAATTCCATGAACTAACTTATCCTCCCTTCACTTCGAAGTTCGAAGTAGTTAAATTAAAATTCTCTTGACCTTAGCCTGTATGACTTCTGACTTCTGAGAACTGAGAATTGCACTTGGTCAAAAGTCTTCTATCGCGCGCTAATCCGACTTCAATGATGAAAATATTGGTATAAAGTAATCTTTATATAAGTACTACCTTTGTTTGTTCAGTGCTTTACTTGATGTAATCCCGGAAACATTAAATCTTCCGAACTAGCAAGTCTGCCGTAGCAGCAGTCATTTCCGACCCAAATTGTGATGCATTCTTGTAAGCTGCGCCGAATGGAAGCTCTCCCGGAAGAATTATTCTACAACATCCTGGTATGGCTTCCGGCGAAGTCGCTGATGAGATTCAAATCTGTCTGCAAGTCATGGCATGCCCTGATTTGGGACCCCTGTTTCGCTCAAAACCCATTACACCAATTCAGGCCTCCGGCCCGATTCCTCCTACCTCCTATTCCATCTTTTTCAGAAACCTTTAGCCAAATCTTGTGATCCATGGGCTGTTGTTCCGGCGAACCGTTACGGAGTTTTTTCCGATCAGCTTTCAAAACACTACTTCAAAGTCTGGGCACCACCTTGTACCAGCACGGTCAACGGTCTGATCTGCGTAGATGATTGGGAGCCGGATAAGCTCTTATTGCTTAATGTGATTACTAAGGAAAAATTAGTCCTTCATAATCCTCCTCCTTGTCTTGAAGGATATGCTGCATTGGGTGACCGTTTCTTTTGTTTGGGATTTGATCCAATCAGCCAGCAATATAAAATAATTCACTCACAGAAGTCGAGCACAAAGTGTTTCATCCTCATTTTGAGCAAGGATATGTCTTGGAGGGATATTGCAGATGCCAATTTCGCACTTTTTGACATTACAGGAAGGAATATATGTTTTGATGGCACAATATATTGGGAAAGAAACTATCTTTGGATGGTCAGAGAGTTGTTCAATGTTTTGACGTTGCGGAGGAGAGGTTTAGGTTCCTCTCCAGTCATCATCAATTACTTAATCAAAGTTTCGATTCGGAGTTCATTACAGAAGTTGGAGGCAAATTCACGTGGGGTGGATTCCACAAGTCTAAGGGAGAGATTACATTGTGGAGACTGGTGAACAAGCATGATGAGCTCTGGGTCAAGTCTGAAATCCAGCTACTGAAAGTGTTTGTGGTTGATTCTTTTCCTTTTAATTTTTTTTTGGTATTTGAGAATAACTGTTTTCAGGGAATTTAGCTTGTACAATTTTTAAATTTCTTTAGGAATTTCAGTGTTGTAGGATTTCTGTTCCGTTCACGGTGGGTTCAGGCGTCCTTGGTTGCTCGGTTTGTTAGTTTCTTTTTGCCTCGTTCATTGGTTTAGCCATGTTCCATTGACATCTGACTTCATCGATGGGGCATGTTGATGGTTATGATGGACTACAGGGCCCTAAGTCCCCTGTATGAGATTATCGTGTTATCTGCAGTGGGTTGGAGAGTTGCAAGAAACTGCTATAGGCTTCAGTCAGTCATTTTTGTATTAAATATGGCTGCTTTTTGTTGTCTTACTGGATGATGAAGTAAGATATTGTTCGTTTTCCCTGTCAAGTGCTTTCTGTTTTTGTTAGAAGTGTTATATATTTTGGATTTATTATGAGGGAAATGATTTACCACCTAGTTGTGAAGATGGGATTGCCGTTCTTCTAGTTGCATCAGAGAAAATGAAGCGAAAAGGGCCATAGGTGATAATTACATGCAGTCAGAATTTCTTTTGCCCCAGGTATAAAACTTTCAGTTGCTGGCATGGTGATTTTGGCCCGTTTTTGAATCGCTTGGATGATCAAGTACTTCAGTGTTATTGTTCGAGAACAGATATGATGAACTTTTTTTTTTTTTTGAGATAAAAGAAACTTCATTAACTTTGTTGGAAAACATCCAACCACGGTTGACAGAGGATTACAATCACTAACATATTACAATCGATTAAAATTCTATAACTAAGAATCCACCGATCATCTTTACTACGGACGACCAAATCACTAACTCCGATATTTGAACTATTTAATTCAAATGTATTTGCTGATATTTGATGGTGACTTGTGCCTCTTGGCTTTGCTAAATGTTTCTTGATTGGTGAGATTGTTAGATTTTGGCTTAGCTTACTGCTTAGAAACAACAATCCTTTTGGTAAGTATATTGCCTTCTCAATTATTTTTTGGTTGATTGGAAATAAAAAAAACTTCCATTTGGTTTTCTGATGCTATGCTTTCTTGCTTTCTTGAAGATAAATTTGTGAGGAATGGGGAAGAAGAAATGATGTTGGTTTTCTGCAGTGAAAAGATACTCTACTCAGCTTCAAGCGAGAAGGTGGATGAGGTAGTCATTGACTCTTTAGACTTAGCTATTTCTTTCCTGTTTTTTTCACTAATTTGGGTTTCGACGTTCCTGCACGTTTTACATCGTTTTGATAATAGTTAATTTTCTCTTTTAATGTAAAAGTCATGTACTTGAAAAGATGGCTATGGTGACAAGATGGAATTTGAATGGTGACCACGTACAGAAACTGCAGAGGCAATGTATGGGTTCCATCTGCTGCGCTCTTGCCATAGATGTAGGATGCAGAAGCAGCTTGTGCAGCTGCATAGGCTGCCGTGCCGACGAGGTTGTTTGGATCACAGCTGCAGCTTCTTACCCTGGGAAGTAAAATCATGTGTAGGCTTCAGCTATCAACACAATGCAAATAAGCTTCTCCAGGATGGATACATTGTACAAGATATTGGACTGCCTTTCCCTGCAGGCATTGGGATCACTTTTCTCCAATCTAACAAGCATCTTGTAACCTGATTTTTTCAGTTTTCTCTTTTGTTTTACCTTAGAATCCACAAAGTGCTGGAGACGTGTTGAAAAGTTACCTTATTTTTATTGATCATGTTGATATAAGCTTTATGGTTGGAGCAATTTTGAGGCCAACTGGTCAAGCTTGAACCATTTTTGTATTTTCTAGTACCGACAATGAACTCACTTCTTCTTTTGTGCATTTGGAAAGAAAATCCGAGTGTTGATGCCCTCTCCTCTTGGGAGGGAATTGAAAGTCAATTGTGTGTGAAATAAAATTTTAAAAATGCAATTTCACATCTATTTTAAGATTTCATTTTCAATTTGAAAAAACAAAATAAATAAATAAAAAATTCGGTATAAAGAAGAAAGCTAAAACCTGACAAAGAAAAACTTAAAATGAGATATTTCGTGAATAGGAGATACCGATAACATCGTGTTCCAACCACATTCTCACTCCGGACGGTGGATCATTGATCCAATGCAAGCATAGAAGAAATCAAAATGCATTATTATAATAAGCATAGAGAAGTAATTAGCACAAAAGAAAAGTAAACTGACAATGGTGATTGAAATTACTACAAAGTAAAAACTTAGAAAGGGGAAACAAAAATCCAAAACCCCGTGACGACAAGGTAGGACCCACAAACCCCCTTAGAATCTGGCCGCATCATCTGTTGTGAAACAAAATACTCATGAATTCCCGTCACACTTCTTGTTCTTGCTTGACGGAGTATATATAGCATCATCTTTTATATTTTTCACTTTTCCCCTTTTTTTCATTTATTTTTTTCAATCTCCATAGATTTCAAAAAAGGCTGTTTATTTTTGTTTAATCTACATTTCGGCTCAAGAACGAAAAGAGCTATAAGAAGGAGAAGAACAAATAAGATGAAGTTTTTGTCCGGCTGGCGTCTCAGAAATGGTCGGAACCCTAGCTCAAACGATTCCACCGCCGGACGACGAATTCCTCAGTTGTTATTAGATGATGAGGACGAGGACGACTTCAGGACCGCGGCGACTTCCAGTGATTGGAATTTCCAAGGCGGCTGCGACGACGATGATGATGATGAGATTTCGAGTAGCGGAGGGAGGTATGCTGATGCAGCAGCTGCGCCGTCAGCTTCGACGTCGTCGTCTTCTTCTTCTTCTTCTTCCTCGAGTATGAGGATCAGAGTAGCTGCTGAGAGTGATGCGAATTCGGTGCCGGCGTTAGTAAATGGTGCCAATTCTGCATCGTCTGCGGCAGTTGCGGCGGCGGCGGCGGCGGTAAGTGTTCCGGTGACGGGTGGGCAGAGAAACACGGATAGTCCTCCAACTGATGATTGCTGTCCTATTTGCTTCGGTGGCTTTGTGGTTCCGTGTAAAGCGCCCTGTGGACATTGGTATTGCGGTAAGCTTATTGAGCTGGTAAAAAACACTGGGTCATTTTTGAGGTAGGTTTTGATTAGCTTGGTAATTGTTGTAACAGTTTGGCGTTTAACATGAAAGGACACTTTGTGCTTTTCTCGATGATCTTGTTCTTTTGCACAAGAATTCGATTTTATTATAGTCTTGAGTAATAAAATGGATGTCATTTGGGGCTTGCTTCTTTCTCTGCATTTTGCTCATCTGTTCTGTTAATATAACTTGATGTTAGTATATCAAAATGAAGGGTCAAAATTCAATCGCTTGAAGGTATTAATGAGCATAGTGGTTCATTTTCTGTCGTCTCAGTTTCATATATGCAGCCCCCCATACCCCCCACCACTACTAAGACTGTATTTTGGAGATTTTCGATTAGTTATGGGATTCTTTTCGTTTAGGAGGATGCATTTTGCAATACTGGAACTATGGTGCAGCGCTTCAACCTTGCAACTGCCCTATGTGCTCACGTAAGATCACTAATCTGACACCTGAGGCATCATTAGTCCTGAAGCAAGAGATAGAAGTTACTGAAGTCTTGAGAAACGTGCGGAAGTATAACCGTCTTTTTGTTGGTGGTCTATATGGTTCTGTTCTGGTAATGTGCCAACATACGTATGATTTTCATTAGTTTTATTAGCTTTTATGTAATAATTTCTTTCTTTTGCAGAGGTTGCTTGAGACACCCCTATACATCAAAAGAATGTTTCAGGATATGATGAATCCGGATAGACCTGGGGCTCATCTCAATAAATTGCGAATAATTGCAGTTAAGTTTGTCTGGACCTTTGAGAATAATGAACTCTGAAAGAATGCTGAGTTTCAACCGTGACGTAATGTATTTCTTTGTTTGCAGATGTTTATGGGTCTCCTTTACACTATCAGCCCTTTCGATTTCCTGCGTATAGGTAATGAATTGTTATGCTTCTTGTACTTGTGGAAATACACGGAACGTATAATTGATCTTGTACTTGTGGAAATACACAAAATTTATAATTGATATCCACGGTTTCTCTATGGATTCTGGTGCTTCAATGAAAATTTTGTGTCATTCTGGAATGAATAAATTTTTTGATGGGTGGCATTTTTATGGTTGCAGGTCGACAGAATGTTATTGATGTTTTTGACTACTCTGCTATGGCACTCTCTCTCATCTTATACATAAGTGGAATTTATCTCCGGCGTAGGCGCTTTCAACGTGTTAGGGAGATGGCTGCTAACCAAGATTGACGTGATAACTGCCACACCCCTGATACTTTTGAATCTTGTTACTTGTATGTGGTACTCATCACGAAAAATTGACTACTCCTTTCCCAACAACCTTCACTTAATTGCTTCTTATATTTGGCCTAAAATTTTCTGGATTTATGCTATACAGATCGGGCGTTCAATGATCATGGACTTGTGCTGTTTGTTATCTTCACTGATTCTGTTCAGTGTGTGAATGTCTGTAGGTGTATTTCATTTTTGTCTTCTGAAAATCCACAGGTGTGATGGATTCTTTAGTCTAGTAGTTCCTCAAAGATGGTGCTGGATTCTCCCAGCTTCATCACCTATACATCTGGTTGTATCAGCAACACCTGCCTCTCACGGTTTATGGGAGTATACTGTATATCCTTCTCCCTCTGTCTTCCTCTCCAGCTCTACTAGCAGGGTGTTTTCTTCTGGGATTCTGCTTTGTAGCATGCGGAAGATACGTTTCTAAAGTTGTAAAGTTTTCTTTTATTCTTGTTTACATCTGCTAGTGGTAGTGGCTAATGTGCAACGCCAGTTTCTTGGCTACTTCAAACTGTGTTTAAGTGGAGTTCACCAGCGTGAAATTAATTTGCTTTGTACAGTATTGCAGCCATTGTACATGATCATTTGCTTTGTACAGTATTGCAGCCATTGTACATGATCGATGGGTTCGAGCATAAGTTACAGACTACATTGAGCTGCTTCTTTTCTTCTGTATATTATCCAGCCCTTTGAGGGGTTTGCTCATTTCTTCTCAAATGTTATTGATGATCTGGTTTTCAGTTCTTTTGTGGGGGGAAACAAAGAAGCAGAAAATGCAAATGTGCCTATATTTGTAAAGCTAAAGGCTGCAAAGAACCTAATAATTCATTATTCACAATGCAGAAAACCAAGATGTTATAAGCAGCAACAATCAAAGCTTATTCAATCTCCTACACCAGACCATACAATATTGCATACATATTTGGATAAATTAAACTACCCCTTTTATTCACCGAGTAAAGTTCCTCCTATCATATGCATGGAACAATTCCTGTAGCCGACATTTGGCCTACAGATGGCACAGAAAACTTGACCCCTAATATATTTACAAAGATACAACTGAGCTAATAACACCCTACTTTACATGTTATCTACCAAGTGCACATACCATGGTCCATGGACATCAACTGATACAGTAGCAGCCACCGCCAGTACAGTTGCAGCACTTACTAACTCATCAACAAGACTAATTGCCCCAACCTGCCGCAGTGCAATTGCTGCCAGTTCTCTTCCATGTGTACCTGACCCGCTGAGAACAACACATCGAGCAGCTAAGTATATCGCACGGGATATCCGACTAAAAATAGGATCCCCAGCTTGTAGGCTTTTGGTTAACATCCGCGCCATAATGTCCTTCAATGATTGGCGCTTCGACTCATCAATAGAATTATCAACATCATTTACAACTTGGCTTAACAACTCTGCAAGTTCCGAGATGCCAGCATCTTCAAATGTGTCCAGCAGATCAGAAAGTTGCTTCACACAGCTCAAGACAATATTATCGATGTCTCCATGACTGATTACAATCCTCTCACTAACAAGAGTTTGCTGAAGGACTAGGATACTGTGATTAACAGAAAAAAATGTCAGCTTTGATAACAACATAGCAAGGCGCATGAGTCGCAGATTATAATGTCTTTCAGGGAAACAATTCCTCCAGTGAAGTCACAATCATACAAGCATAAACCTTACCTCGTGGCAATTACAGTAATCTTCTGCATGCGTGCCTGAACAGCCCTCAGTCGCAGAACGTTAAGCTTCTGTGTTTCTGGTAAGCTCTCTTGGGTAACACCAGAAATCTCACTCACCAGCTTTAGCAACCCAAGCCTCACCATCAAATCGACCTTCTTGCCTTTGCAGTCTGGAAAAGTACGGGCAAAAGAAGAAAAGCAGCTGAGACCACATTCAAAGAAAAGCATATGCCAAATTCAGAAGATGTAAAAATGTATGAGCATAAACCTGAATAACTCAGGGAAGAGATAGAAGCTAATAAAGAGTCTGGATTTCCACTCCTGCTATTTGGAAAATGTCCTCCGCTTTTAAGCGTGGTTGGCGCAAGTGACCTTTCAGGTATTGTTCCATGTTTTCCAGCGGACTCCGACAAAATATTACAGTGGTCTGACCATTCCTGATCCTTGCAATCTCTTATAGACAAAAGCCACTCCCTTGTCAAGGGTAAGGTATTCACAGAGTCACCAGGAGCCCCATAGTGCTTGGTGAAAGACTTCCTGAGAAACGCCAGACCAGCCGGACCCTTAAGTACGGGTTGAAGAAACTGTATCTTATATTTGCTCACTTCTTGCTTAAGGATCTACAATAAAAATTCATTGTATATTAGGCATCAAACTACTAACATTGAAGTGAATTATCTCGTTTCAATATTTTAACCTTACAACAACGAAAGAAACAAACCTGTATTTGCTCCAACACAAACCGCAAGCCCTTAACTAAAGCAACGGTATGCGCCTTTTTCGATGGGCCATTTTCCTGGCACATAGTAGCTAGCTCTTCCATGAATTTCTGGTGGGTGGCCTCTAGTTCATCTGTGCTGGCTGGAGCTGAGAGCTTCTGCAGCTTTACAAGTGCAAACCCCAGGACCTTTCCAAGATAATCCATGTCCACATTTCCCGCACTGAGTACCTTTGAGTGAACATAACAAGATTCTGAGAAAATGAAATTCCCATCGTCCTCCGTTCAAACAAATAAAAAAGCAAAGACAAATTAAAAAATGTACACAGATCTACAAAAGCAATGGAGTACCTGAGAAAGAATTTCAATGTCGATGGATTCAAATATCTCTTGTTTCCAACTTTCAGGGGCCATGAGAGAAATTTCATCTCTAACTTCTTTCATTAGTTCAAGAATGTGGCCAAACTTAGGTTCATCCTGTTCAACTGATTCGATAATGCCATCCCAGAAAGCTTTCTTCATTGTCTCTTTCACTTTTTCCTACAAAACAACATACTCGGTAAAACTTGGTATCAGGCAATATATCTATGTCCACTAACACAATGGACTAGCCATGAATCCAAAAAGTAAAGCAAAAAGATGCTAGAGAATTGGATACACTTGAAATTTAAAGACTGTCCTAACCTTTGCACTGCTCTGGATTTTATCTCCGAAATTGATGTTTTCATCATGTACAAGTTGTTCTCCGTGAACACTTTCATTGACAATCAACTCATTTTCCAAGTCCTTCCACATACCAGAACCATTACTATCACCTTCATCTCCGAATAATCTTCTAGCTACATTGGGCTTCTGGGCATTCTCAGTCAAACCATTGCTTTTTCCTACAGATTCAACTCTAGGATGGGGAGTGGGGATACTGGCAGAAATGGGAGATGTAATCTGCGCTATTGATGAACCCACTGGACTCCCATTCTCCAGTGCCTGAAAATATTTTGCTCTTGTATCAGAAATCGCAGCTTCCATGCGCGCAATACCAGCATCTCCACTCAGGTTATGCACCTTCTCCCTCAAAAGCTTTTGGTCTTGTGTGACCTGCATCATGTCAACAGATGCGTCAAATCAGGGAAGGAAATTTCAGAAAACCCAAAAGTAAATTGGATGGCCAGTTAGCCAAAACATGCAACACTGTCCAGAAACTCTTATACCAAGAGAACTTTAGAGCCAACCATTTCCTATCATCAAAAGGTCAATACTTCTCAAAAAATCATTTTGATTAAAACTGAACAGAAAAGGGAACAAGTAGCTAACCTGTTTCTGAATAGCCTTCATATCGTGGGTAAGAGAACCACTATCACCTTCAGGAGTCATCCTACAGGTCTGAATCATTGAAAGTTCAAGATGACAAGCCGCCCTTACTAAATCCCCCTCCAAAGACTCCGCATCTTTAACCTTCCACATAACAAAATTATTCAAATACGAACACCAAGCTGAATCAAAAGCCGCAAGTTGGTATCTAAACTTCACTAAGACAGGGCCTGATTCCGTGTTAGAGACCTCAACAGGTCCATCTAATACGGTCTTTATCAACAACTCAAACTCTCGAACAAACGTCTCAGCAGACTGGGCCAAAGCAATCTCACGCTCTCCGCGACCACTGAAAACTGAACTTGGATGCCCCAATATCATGTAGGCACAAAGCACGATCCTGACTTGGTACCTAGATAATTTGACAGGAGTCTTAGGAGACGGAGACTGTTTCAAAGGGCCCGGCTTCCGTGTCTCCCTGCTAGCTGTAGATTTCCTAGGTGTAGCTCTTCTTCTTGGGGTTGCCACTCGCTTCAGAAGGTGATCAATGTCACCCCAAGCAAAGACATGAGGTGTGGCAGCAGACATCCTCGCTAAAACATACCGACACTCAAACCTGTCAAGCAATGCTTTTGTTGTCTGAAGGGTAGACCCAGATTCAATCATCAGGGCAAGCTGCTCAAAAGGCTTTGATGTCACAGAATCCTTGTTTATATTTAAGGCGTCGTATGATTTTGCAAGTTGTAGAGTAGTTTCCCTAATCTTGCGGAACTGCCTCCAGCACCTAGAGAAAAAACTTCTTAGTTATATTAAAAAATAAAAAGAAAAAAATGAAAAGAAAACTATAATAAAACGTCTCAAATCTCATTTGTCGGCATAGGAAACAACAAGAACACAAGTGCTTTTAATTTGTTGCAACGACATCTCAATTTGGGTCAACATACCTGGCCAACTTTCTAGACAAAAGATCTGCCTCCTCCTGAAATTTGTTCCAACTGCTACGAACAGAATTCTGCCCCTTTCCTCTTTGCATCAAATATTCTGCTCTTTGTCTCTTGGCCTATTCATCAAAGTGAATTCTCACAGTAAGACAAATTGGCATAAACAAAGCCACATTGGGGACAGACAATATATAGAGTGCTTTCACTGTTCTTTTTTCGGCTTAGAAAATTCATTAGAGTAAAGCAGCTAAGGAAAACATGCTAACAAATTCATGAAAGTATCTAAGCAAGATATGCAAATACCCTTTGGAGACGGTTTTCCAGCTTGCTTTGCATATCTTGCCTTTCAATCTCACGTTGGCGGCTAATACATTTGGCCACCTTCCTCACTTGAAGAATTCTTGCACCTGCCCTTTTCGTCTCTGCTTCAAGCAAGCCTAATCGCTTCTTCTCAGCAGCAGCGCGTTTTTGGTGGATAGCAGCACGAACTCGCTCCTTGTACTTGCTCTCTCGAGTCATCCTCCGTAGTAAGGATTGAGATGTCCTCTCCTTCAATGACAACCTCCTTTGTTTGTGGGCTTTCAGGATTTGCATTCTATTAATCTCTGCTTTCTTGACCCGCGATTCAACCTTGGTGCTTAACTCCGCCCTCTCCCTCCTGAATCGCATTTCTACCCCTGTTTTAGCAGCTTGTCGCAGCTCATCCAATTTAGCAAGACGGATCTGAGCCTTTGCTAGAATGCCCAACCTATAATTTCCAACATAAACATTAAATCAGCGAGAAACAAACAACTGACTCAATCCAGAATCTTAAACATCCTGCAATAAAGTGCGTATATTGCAGTAAAATTTACTTCAGCCAAAATATTTATCAAATCCATGCATGCAAAAATTCCAATTTAACCACTTCCTTTTTTATTATACCAGAACCGTAAAAATTCGAGCATCCAAAATAGGTTTTATTGCTATCGGGTTCGATGCAGAACCCACAGACAAGCATTTGGAAGGTTACAAAAGTTTGAAACGAAGAAAGGAGTATAAAGACGCGGGGAAAGACGAAAATATGTTCACAGCACAAAACACAATGGGGAGCAAGCAAGTACTCCAAGCAGCTTCAAAAAGTGCACTATCAAACAATTTTAAATTCACCAGGAGGGACCACGGCTACAGCATAAAACCCCAGAAATAAGGATTAAAAATTACAGTCACAACAACATGATAGCACCCGTAACTGAATTATGCCCTAAATCTAAAGAACCCCTTAACAGCGGCACAGTGTTTACTCAAAGGGTCACCCAAGACGGTAATAATTACTTCCACATGGCTGGTTGAATTTTCATTACCAAACCAACTGATCTTTTTGCTTGGGCCCTATGATAGTAGCCCTTATACACAGTTGTGAACAGCAAATTTAGCAAAACGCTTCACAAAATAATCCAAAAGACAGGAGTTTGTGAGATAACATAGGATTCCCATTAAGCAGAGAGCAAGTCAACAAGAAGAAACAAAATATCAACCTCTTGTTTTCAGCAGCTTGAAGCTTCGCCTCAAGGCGTTGTCCACGATCATCCTCAGTGGAAGAGGATTGTGAGGGGCTTCTTGGCTTTGGTCGAGCCTTGCTAGATAAATGCTCATAAAATTTCTGAAACCAAAAAAATTACATTAAGAATCTCTGACAAAGTTCAATCACCAAATTAGGGAAGGAAAAAAGATCATCAAGGTGGAAATTTTAACCGAAGATATCATTATAAACAAATCTATTTTAGCGCCAAGTGCTTCCAAAACTTGAATTCTGGGGCAGAGAAAGAATATGTTCACCTTTTGAATAAGGTTTGATTTTACGAAAAGAATAAAATGAAAACTTGATTCTTTAATTGATCTGAATTACAGTAACAAAGAAAGGTGAAAAAAGAATTGTAAAGAGAAAATCACCCACTTCCTACCTAACACAAAATGAATTGCCTTTCCTTCAACTCGAAGGCATAAAAGTGTTTTCTCCAAAATTTACAGAGTGATATAAAATAGTAGTCAAAGGATTAAGTTGAATTTTGTGGATGAAACGAAAATTAAACCCAAAAAAAAAGGCTCTTGAGCCATAAAATTGTTGAATTAAAAAAAAAAAAAAAAGATATTACAAGCGAAAGGATGGAGAAAAAAAAAAGTAGCAGTAGTCGGTGAGAAGCAAAAGACCTGTCGACGAATATGAGCGTGTTGAAGCTTAGCTTCAATCTCTTCAACAGTAGAAGGAGACGAGATTTTCATCTCGGAAAGCCTCCGTAGAAGCCTCTTCGGCGGCGAACACGACACCATCATCGCTCCATCAGTGACCGGAATTTCCAACGCTACCCCCGGAGGACTTCCTCTCTCCGGCGACTCCATCATCACCACCACAACAAAATTCTCACTCTTTATTATTAAAAAAAAAATTATCAACTCAACAATCCAATAATTACGATCAACCAACAGACTGATGAAGATGAAGAAGAAAAAATAATCAGTCCACAGCAGAATTACAACAAATTCTTCGCGTGTGAATAATAATCAACAAATTGTAACGAATCTATACAGACAGAAATATATATCATAAATTATTTACAAAGAGACGTGAATGAAAGAGGGAAAAGGTTGGCGACGATTGAAGAATGAAATTTGAAAAGAAGAAGAATTCTAATTGTAAACAAAAGAGGAGAAGAGAAGAGAAGAAGAGAGTTCTCTTTTTTTTTTCAGAGTCGGAAATGGGGATTTAGCGTTTTTTCGGTTAGAAATCAGAATTTATAATTTTTAATATTAAAAAAAAGCGTTGGCGCGTGTGTGAGAGTGTGGAAGTTAAAGCGTGTTGAGGGAGAGTGAAATGGTGTGCGGATCCGTAAAGGCTGCTGCCACGTAATCGTATTTCGTATTATTGAATTCAACGGTACACTTTCCATCTACGTATGTCTTCCTCTTCCCTTTATACTACTTTGTTTTGTTTTTTAGTGTGTGGTTTTAGTTAATTTTTTATATTAAAAATATATAAAAGTGTATTGAAAATGTAAAAATGTATGTTGCAATGAGACAGATATTATTATATTATTCTGAAAAAACTACGAGAAAAAAGAAAACAAAGAAAGCCACGTTTTTTTTTTCCTCTTTTTGTTTTTTCCCCCTTGCGATTTCGTCCAGGTTTTTTAACAACATACACCAAGTTAAAAAGGAATGTTTGATAGCTACGTCTTAAATCGATTTAAAATAACTTTCCTAAAATGTGTAAAAACTGTTTCACAAAAAGAATCATTTTTTTATCTTGTTGTTTTAATGTAATGAAACGATCCAAGACAGACATATATAGAATTTTTTTTTAAAAAAAAAAAAACTGCATGGGATGGAGGAAATGCATAGACTAAATAAAAGTTTATGGCGATGTATAGTAAGATACAGCAATTTTGCCCCAATCACAAATCTACAATTAGTTTTGTTAATTGTTTCTCAAGCCTACGACAACTCATTAATTAGATGAATTATTAATCCTTGGCTTATTGCAGATATTGGCTCAATTTCTCTAAAACATACAAATACACAATGCAGGATAATTATGCAACATAACTATATGTGAAATGAATAAAATAAATTATCAACTTCATTTCTCATTAAATAAAAAAAATAAAGCGCTGTATAATTTTACTTGTGACATGTTACGTCCAAATCATATCACTAGATGAATTTATTATAGAGTTTAATAGAGAGTATTATTGTGGATAATTGGTGAACTTTCCAAGCAGAAGACTCATCCCTAAAAATGTTGGAAGAAATGAAATGGTTATTTTCATAGCACAAATTAGGTAGCATGACGTAAGGATGAGTTGCGAAAATTTCCGTGATAACCATAATTTGGCTTTTACTTGTTCTATGTTCTCATTTTTTCAATTCACTAATAGAAACTTTCTGTTGTTAAAATAATAATATGTAAAAGACAGACATTTTTTTAAAACATTTCTTCTTCTTTTTTTTTTTAAAACCACAAACCATCTGGGATTTTTTAAAAAATAGAAATCGAAAGTTAACTCTGGCATCAAAAAAAAGATTTTTTATTTTTTTTAAAATATATTTGTTAGATTGGATTGTGAAAAAGGTGGCCAATGCCTAATAGAGTGCAACTTTAAAAATGGATACAAAGTACAACTCCATACAATAAGTCAAAGGGGCTAAAGGGCTACTTTACTCAATGGAGTGGACATGGAGAGCAACTTTTCTTCTGGTAGGCTAATGGAAACTTTCTAAAACCAAATAATGCAAATAAATAAATGGCTGATTACGAAATTACATACGCGCTTTCACATAGTTGCCTGCCCAACTGACCTTATTTAATAAATATATTATATTTTTCTCATTGTTAAATAAATAATTAGTACTACCAAATATTCTTTAAAAGGAGAAAAAAAAAGAAAAGAAAGGGATCAAAAAAAATGGTGGATGAGTGATGATGACTGCTGAAAAATGGAAAAGAACCATAGAGAAATGGATAAGGCTTGACATGCGTATGTGTCTCGGCAATGTTTCTTGAACATGGCAAATCCATACATCAAATCCTCCACCAAAACCCAACCATGATGCCCCAGTTGGCTACTAATCCATTGTTGTTTTCTGTTGGTGTTAGATTTACAAAGTGATCAAGTTTAGAAGTTAATTTGCAGCTAGCATATTGTTCACTTACTTATTCGACTATGAGATTTTCATTTGTAAGATTAGAGAATGGAACAAAATATTGAACGTGACAGTAATATGTAAAAAAATATTTATCACGTAAACAATAACATGTGATTTATTTTGCTAGACGAAAAATCGTTTAATAAGTTGAATGCATTGTCTGTCTTGTAATAATCTAATAAAAGTAGAAAAAAGAGTTCGTAGAGAATGCTCATAGATTAGCTAAAGCATTCATCCAGTGATTGAGTTTCTGTTTCTGCTCATTATGTAAACATGTACTTTGGATAATGTTAATATTATCCAGTTTGAGTTTTTATTTCCAGTTAAAATTGTACTAAACGTAAAATCTCAAATTGGACAATAATTTCGGGACAGAGAGTATAAAACAAAACACCACCAATCAATCTTGAGAAAACAAATGTAAGAACTAAGAACCACACAATTTAACAGATTGCGAGGGCAAGACGGTAAATTTGACAGACAGTGACGGACGATTGCGCTTTTGCTTTTCAGCTAGGATGGAAGTACACGTCATCTTTCCCAAAGAGAAAAAGGCAAAATGAATAATCGTATACATCCGCGAGTACAGGAACCGTATACTCCACTTCATTGAAGATTACGTAAGCGGGAACGTTTTGGAAGAGAACCCTGAGGGTCCACTTCATCTACGGTGGAGGCTCGGATAGACCAGCATTTCCCATTTCCTTCTGCGCAGGTTGGGTAAAAGAGGCTAAATAGCTGCCACATACTCGAGTAGGACAGCTCATTACCCACGTGTCTCGACCTCATTTTACCAAATAGTTAAGGGTATTTCCACCATGTAAATAAATAAATAAATCAATTTTTTGGGGGTTAAATAACAAATACAATAAGTTGTAGTAATTGGGAAAAACTGTAGTATTTTGGACGATAGAATCCAAAAGTGAATAAAGCACTGGAATTTTGGATGAGGCGGCTATAAGTACTAGTTCCTATACTAATATTGACAACTATTTATTGCTCTTATTACTGCGTTTATCATGTAAATAAAAGTGTACTTTCCCGTGTTACCGGATGATATACATCCTACCATACATACTATTGTGATACGATAAATGAATCTCACATGCTTACGCTACTTAATCATAATTAACAGCCCGCGACAACCATCCCTATCATGCAGGAATGTTCTCGACAACTTTGTATGTTTCTCCCTTTATTCAAAAAAAAAAAAAAAGCCTCTATTCGCAGTTTTTAAAAAATAAGTATAAATTTCAAACTTTAACTTGACAACAAATCCGGAAATTCATTTTTTTTTAATTTATTTCAGGACAAAGACATACATAAAGTAAACATATCAAAAAAATATATAGTTCATGTTGAGTGTTCACATTCATAACAATACAAATATGAAAACTCAATATGTATTTTTTCTTGAGACAGATGGAATATTTTACAGAGTCATTAACATCCTTATTTCTTTTATTTTTTTTTGGTTGGGAGGGAGATCATCCCTTTAATTACATAATTTTATTCGTGATTTTTCTCATTTTCATTTCCCATGCGCGTATCTAAATTCTAAAGTGCTTTTTCATTAAACAAAAAAATCTTTTGACACCACATATTTTTCTTTTCAATGGATTAGTTTTTATTAACTTGAACGTGTGTGCAAATCTGTTTCATTTTTAGCATTCTCGTGTTGTTTTGTTTCTTTTTTATTTTTTATTATTATAATATATATAAGTGGATAAAAAACAGAAAGAAACAAAAAGATAAGAGCTGCAAAGATGGTAGTGGAAATACTTCTGCATAAAATGAAAAAAGGAAGGAGAAAGAAAAAAAAAAAAAAATAGTTGTGGTGAGGATTGAGAGTCTAATAACAACCACTTAATTGGTGGAGCTAGCTAGAAAGCAGAACCTGGTGGTGTTTATATTTTTGATGAGTCACTTTCCAATTTGTCAAGCTGGACAGTTGTTTTGGGTCTTATATTCTTGACATCTGGGCCAAATTTCGTGGGGGTTGTTGAGTAGGAGAAGAAAGAAACTCGCAACTCTAATTTGGAGATGCGGTGCTTACTTTCGTACTAGTATCTCCAAATTTGAACACTAATCCATTTTTTTGGTTGAATTCAGGCCATCTTTTTCCATGTTTTTTGTCCGCCTTCAACTCCTTACATTGTGTCTTGTTGGAGTAATTAATGTATTGATGATCTAGTCGAATTTGACAAATGTCCAATTTTATATATTTTAGTTTAACAAATCTGACTATAAAAAAATCTTATTCCCTCTGTTTCAAAATTATTATCCAGTTTGAGATTTCACTTTTAGTACAATTTGAACTAGAAATGAAAATTCAAACTAGACAATAATTATGGGACAGAGAGAATACATGATGTTACGAGTGTATGATGACCGTAATTCCGTAAGTTAAATGAAGCAACCGAACGTTGCCTGCTGCGTGTATTGGAGTAATCAATCCCTTGGGGATCACCTTAGAAAGTATGTTTTTGAGAAAATTCAAAAAAAAAAAAAATTAAAATCCATTATCTTTTGCCAATAGGTTAATATTAAGTTCAAATAAAATACTAAATAATTTTTATCCTAAAAAATAATTCACATATGTTTTGATAATAAATTATAAACAAATTAAATCTTTTTTTTTATGTATTTTTCTAAAGTATCTTATATTATAATATAAAAAAAATTTAGTTTCAATGACACGAGTCTATTAAGACCATCAATAGACTCAATCAACACGTATCCATTTTTCTTTGGTTATTCGTTAAACCATAAATAATATTACTATCTAAAACCGTTAACTTTTAGAATTTTTTTTTTTTTGTATTTACTTGGATTACTTTAATTAATCTACTCCATCAGAAAATCCGATTGGTTATAATTCTATTTCAAAAGATAATGATAAATTTAAAATTTGAACCAATTAAAAAATGCAAAACATAAATGTTTATCTCAACAACATAAAACGTTAGTGATTCATAGTGAAAATGATACTCCAATCCTAATTACGAACTATCTGATTCACACGGTATGTTTTCACTATAATGCTACATGCTTGGCCCGTGCCTGGTCGCCCGTCTTTTAACTTGTTTTAATGGAAAAAAAAGAAAAGAAAATAAACAAATCATACAACAAAAATGATACATTTTCTTATAATATGTACGATAATATAGAATTGGATGACATCCCATGCCAATGCAAGGCGCCGGCTTGATATATCAATATATCTAAGA